TCCCAGAGAATTCTGTTGCTGTATCGGGTAATCTTTCCACTTTTTCTAATGCGTTGAAGATACCCCCCTCCCCACCTGTCTGTAGTAACCCGATACCACTGGACTCAGCTGCAGATGAGTCTAATGTTTCCAGGTCTGCAGCAGATGCGGACTGTTCCAAGGTCATGGGCTGCATGGTGCTGGGGTCAAGGTTGAGTTTCACGATGGGAGGGAGGTCGTCGGTTGCTGTGGAGCTGACCTCTGACCTGTCATCCTCCATGCCGGAATCTTCCTCCCCAACACCTGCAGCTTAACAACAAGCATGATGATAGCTCGTTACTACCAGTTATAAAAGGCATTATCCTTGTTTTATTGTCGTTTCACATCCTTCCGCATCCACGTTGTTGATTCATATCAATTATGGAAAAGAAAAAGATCAATAACATAACCCACACAATGACAAAATATACAGATACGCAAAATACAAACGTCAAAACTAAAAAAGATTTGTCAGGTCTGTAGGTCTGTATCCACTCTTTCCTTCCTGAGTTTAATCGGACGTAGGCTACAGGATCTATATGATATCGATTGATCACATCAAATTACTATAGATTATAACACAGCATTCCACAAACCTGAGAGTTGGGAGGCACTTCCAACCCTCTGCTGACCCGCCTCCTTGAAGATGGATGACTGAGTGATAGTTCCAGGTCTGGTGAGCACCGGCAGCAGCCCTGGGGGAGGGGTGCGCAGCAGCTGTTGGAATGTCTCCAGGGAGGCTGTGACCACATTGTGATCAGTGTGTTGAGAGTAATGCAGTACCAGCTCAAATATCTGTGGAAAATAGTGATACAACAAGGCTATCAGAGATGGCACACTTCAACTCCTTTACCCATTACTACTTTGTGACCCTTCCAGTCCTACAGATACAACAATGCTGCATAATACATGTAAAATACAGAAATGGAAATGGAAATGGAAGAAACACACAGACACCCACTGACAGACAGGTAGACACACACACACACACACACTGTGCTAGACCCAAATGCTATGACAGGACCCATGAAGTTTAAATATTCCAAGGACCAAGACATTCAATTGGTGTGGCAACATTTCTGAGGCTATACAAGCTAACCTGTACAAGTTGCTCTGTATTGACGGACAGTTCAGGATCTTTCTTGGTGACCCCAAAGCTGCCCTTGAGACTGTCATCCTCAAGGTCATGCAGGGTTGCTAGGTGTGGCACCAGGTGACGCAGACACAGCAGCACGCCTAACAACGTGTGAGACTTCCTGTCCTCTTGGATGGGGATGACCATGCCTGCGTCAAAAAATGTCAATAATGTACTATTTTTCTAGACTTCTCAGTTGCAGTTAAACCTTGCTACAGTCTGACCTGAGTACTATAGCTAGTAACCACCTCTGCATAAGGACTACCTGTGGCTGCATTTCTTTGGTCCCCTAGAGCAAGATCAATATCATTTTTCCAATTGACAATTTTGTCTGTGGTAGCCAACTGTCTACTGATACTACTTTCTTCAAGTTCAACTGAGACAGGTTTGAATGTAAATAGACCTGTGGTGCAAGGAAAAGTTAGTACTGCAATGTGGCTTCTGCAGGGAGACATCTCACAAGTGCTGATATGCAGTAGGAGTAATCTGAACGGGCCTTAGCATACCCAGTAAGACAGTCAACAGCCAACAGAAGAAGTGGCGTGGTTTTCTGGAGTACTGGCAGAACACGACGAGGGAGCTGGCTGCAGTACGTCTCGTCACGGCTGACGTAGATCTTAGGTTGGGCAGGAATGTCTTCAGCAGGACCTGCACACAATCAGAGAAAGCAGGCTTCAACTCCTGTTTTTTTTTTTGTGCCAAATTAAAACGAAGCACAGAACCCAAAAATGGTGTAGCCTTAGCCTTATCACTTACCTTGATTTCTGCATCATTAGTGAAGCTCCCCAGCACTGGGAAGGTTTTCTTTAAAGAGTTAGCAAGGGTCTCCTGTACAGCGTCCTCCTGACGTCGACAGATCCGGTTGAAGCAGGGCAGGAGGTTCACCACGTAAGGACGACACTTCTGCGGTCTGATCAGATGGGACAGTTCCGCAAACCGCCACAGGGCAGCCCGAAGGCTTCTCGCTGCTCCATTCTGAAAAATAATGCAGTATTTACCTTCTCTCTGTTAAGTGCTTACTTCTAGTATGTATGCACCAAAATTATCATTGGTTGCAGAATATGTTAGCAAGAAGGGGTTAAGCAACAAGAGAATCAACTACAAGTCTTCACCTTACCTTCTTTATTTCTTTATACAGTTCAACTTGAAGGCGGCCCAGGTTGGTTTCCAGCAGCATCTATACAATACCAAGGACAAAAGTATAACAAACATACAAAAACTTAAAATACAATTTACTATTTCAATACTATGATGTATGTATGTGTGGGTTTGTGTGAGTGTGTGTGGGTTTGTGTGTATGTATGTATGTATGTACATATGTATGCGTGTGTTTTCAACTTTGCTAATGGACAAGCCTGCCCAGCAAGTACTAAACAGAAGTCAATGCAATGTTGTGTTAAGGGGGGGGGCACAGTTACACGGATCTCTGTTTGCCTGGTTGCTATTGTTTAATGTGACCTTGGGACTGACCTTGACTGTCCGGTTCAGACACTCGTCAGCCACCATCCTCACGTCTGACTCCTTGTCATCACAGGAAGCCAGGAACATCTCCATGGAGATCCCCAGGAACTTGGGAAATTCAGCCATGGTCCTACATGAAATTAAGAATAACTAGAGTAAGACGACAGATACATTATCAATCCAATGCCATATACCTGATGACAAGTATGCCTAGTATATGATTACAAAGTTGAAACCAAAGCTTTAGAATAAAAATGATCACGATAAGAAGCTGAAAGCACACTTTCCCACCTGAAGTTACTGGCACACATGGCATCTGCTATTGTTACCAGGTGAGCAACTCGGTCTTTCTTGCCCACAGCAAGCTCTTTCTTCCTAAACATTGTTTAGAAGTGACAACAAACAATTTCAACATCAACAGCTCTGCACTGATGATAAACACCTTTACACCATTACAAATATATATGGTAACTAGTTGTTTTGTTGCTGTAGGACTTGTGTGATTGTAAGCAAAGAAAAATGAAGGATGGACAGGTACAAAAAGTACTCAACTAACTAAAAATGACAGTGGAAACATGTTGTATACAAACGTAGGTAGAGAGGATTCTTAAAAGAAAAATGTTGCACCAACACCATTGTCCAAGCTACACAGTAACAATCATTGAAACTAATGATTTATCTAACTGTAGAGTTACTAATGAAGAAATATCCAACGCACCATACCAGCATGTGTATACTACAATAAATTAAAGTCCATTATGTTCCAGCCACCTAAACAAATTTTGCGACACAGTGAAAATCAAGAGTATTTTGAAGTTTACTGTAGAGACGATAGCAGCAATGTAATAAGAATGTTCACAAAAAAATGCAAACTAAAAAATATTGTGCAGATTGACATTTACCATACTATGCTGATGTCTATAACTATTCTGTAAAGCTCTACAGTACAGTCTCCACCACCATCCTACATGCCCCTCACGATAAGAAATGTTTCAATGTTTCATTCTGTCCTACCCAGTGGCCAGACTCGCCACAATATCTCGGGCAACTTCAGTGAACTCAGCTGGGCTAGTAGTGAGCAGACTACCAAAAAACACACAAAAACAGAAGAAACATGGAAGAGAATTTTTTACACAATCATGAATTATTGAAATGTGGGTGAATACAAAATCGAGAATCTGTTCTTATCCACAACAGGGTAAATGACTTGACAAATGACATGTACTGTAACTATCACTAAAACGATCTAAATGAGGTAGTGAGGTTTATAAATTGTTGATGTCAATGTCATTACTGGCCAGTTGCAAAATCGATCAATCAATAAAAATTCGTAATACCATGATGATGAAAAATAACATTATCTTTCCAGATATGTCAAACTAAGTCCCTACACGAATGGAAGTTTTATCAAAATATACTACATTGTACTGCAGCTGTAGGTTGCGCAGATTAGCTCAGCCCCTCCCCCTTGTTTTGTTATGCCGACAAAGGCTATGATCACATCCTCTTTGTTCAGATTTTATTTCGGATCGCAGTTTTTGCAAGGTTTTGACGGGGATTTCCATCACAAAACTACTGTTTGTAGGACTTCTTACTGTAACCACAACAGTACTAGCACCTTAGAATTCTAGATCAATTAATATTTTCTATTTTTCAAGGGTCAACTCACTTCGACATCTGACCAACTGGAGCCGTCTGGCTAGAGGATGCGGTCTCCTCCCCCGTGACAGTTCCCTGTTGGAACGCCTTCAGCGACTCGAAGGCCTTCAGAAGCTTCTCCGTAGTGGCCATCGTAGATTATTAAACCTTCAGCTTAGCAGAAATATCATGCTCGACGCTGTGATCATCAGAATTATGCGGCGAAAAGAGCTTAATAAAAAATCGTTCGTGTGAATCAAAATTCACCTGACGGCAGCCATTTTGGAAAATTTCAATAGCCGATACCATAGACGTAATAGGGGATAAAAAATAAACTATCGCAGCAAGTTCCAGAAAGCAAGTCAGAAATTAGAAAAATCTTACTTTCTACTTGTATTTAGATACAAATAAAAACACCACTTGATATTCAATGCACTGGCGTGCCGCGTGCAGTTATTTGTATGGTAAGTTAAACGATTATCTTACCTATTTGTGTTATATATGGTATGTTCCAGTTCCATCATGCTTTTTGTTCGTCTGGGTGAATTTCACCGCTAGCTACAGAGCAAAGGTATAGTTTGCTGTCCTCTTTTCCGTGACTAACACCAGTTTGAGGTAGGCTATGACTGAAAATAATACCTACTAGCACCATTGGCATTAAAATTACGGAAACGAAACTTTAATTCAGCTCATAATCCCTTTGCAGAAGACTACGTTTCATGAACGTGTTGCTGGGGTACCGTTGCTGGAGGTCTTCAAAACGTTGACATGGCGTCGAATCCGACGAAAACCTATGGGTTGACCATCCCAAAGAAGGGGCTGCAGAAGCCAACAGCCATGGTGGCCAGACCTTCCATCTTTGGAGACGATTCCGACGAAGATAGCGCCCATGAGGCAATCAACCGGTCCTTGCAGGTAAGTCCCCTGACACGAACTAAGGTACATCTGCCCCCCTCCCCCTTTCAACCTGAAATTCGATTTTATGTAGTTGATTTAAATACATAACAAAACAAAACGAAAAAGACGTACTAAGTTCATCTGTTGATTTTCAAACGTTTTGCACTATTTTCAAACTATGACGGAAGAAAGTAATCTAAAAGTGTTTTGTCTCAGTTGTACCAAAATTGTACCTTAATGAGTTAATCTTTCATAGAGTGATGCAGCCAAGAAGAAAATCAGAAAGCAGACGCAGCTTCAGATGGCCAAGGCGATGGAGGAAGATGCCAGCGTCTACGAATACGACAGCATCTATGACGACATGAAGAAGCAGAAGGAAGAGAGAGCTGCTGCAACAACTGGGCACAGGGTGGAGAAGAAGCCCAAATACATCAAAGCCCTGCTGTCGGCCGCACAGCGTCGCAAGATAGAAGAAGAGAGAAGGATGGAAAGGAAGGTACAGAAGGAGAGGGAAGAGGAAGGAGCGGAGTTTGCAGATAAAGATGCCTTTGTGACATCTGCTTACAAGAAGAAGCTGCAGGAGTTGAGGGAGGAAGAGGAAAGGGAAAGACGGGAGGCTGAAGAGGAAGCTAGGAACGACGTAACCAAACAGAAGGATATGAGTGGGTTCTATAGACACCTGTTGGCTCAGACTGTCGGGGAAGATGCACCTAGTGGGTCACAGGTCAAGGTCAAGGAGGAAAAGACTTCTGATGATGAGACTGCAGCCACAGCTAAGAAAGAAAAACATGAGAAGACTAGTAATGTAAACAGGGAGGACAGTGACTCTGGCTCAGATGATGAAAGGAAGGGGAAACATAGCAGAAGAGAGCACACCAGGGACAGGTCTGAAAGAGAGCATGAGGGAGGCAGGGATAGAGATGATAGACACAGACATCGGCATTCTGAGAAACACAGGGAGAGGAGGAGAGAGAGAAGTGGAAGCCGTGGCAGGAGTAGGGATGAAGAGAGGGATGAAAGAAGTCATAGGGATAAAGATAGGAAACATCATGGTAGAGACAGAGACAAAGATCGACACAGGCACTCAGAGAAACGTCATAAGGAGAGAGACTATGATGAACCAAAGGCTGAGAGAGCGAGGGACAAAGACTCGTCTCCTGAGCCAGAAAAAAGTGAAAGGGATGAATCAAGTACTAATACTAGTAACAAGGAAGAAGGGACAGACCAGGTCAAAAAGGAGGAAAGTAGCAAGAAAAATGAGAAATCAAAGTTTGCTAAGAGGAATGAGGGAGAGTCTGTGATGTCTGCCAGGGAGAGGTACTTAGCTAGGAAAATGGCAAGAGAAACTGCAAAGGCAGCCTTTGGAGAGCCACTGGAATGATGTAAATGTAAATAATGTAACTCTCCTTGCTTGATTTTGTATGGTGTGCAGTGATACCCATCTTCAATTATTTGCAGTGTAACACTATCCAGGTGCTGTTAGGATTTCATTACACCTTTGATTTTTTTTCAGACTAGACTGCCTGAATCCTATGCCCTTTTTTATTCTAATTGTTATAAAACTACTCAGTCAAGAGGCAGATAATTGGTGGTTTAGAAACTTTGCATACTATTTTCAGCAAACATATGATACACAAATAATACCACACAGTTCAACAGTATAACATTACATGTACTTGCAAATATGTACAAATAAGTTTCACTTTCAGAAGTAGCAAAATAAACCATTCAATCTGTGGACTACATGTACATTGCTGTTACAAACTGATTTAAAGCTTATTTTCTAGATAGACTGGAAATGATGTAAACAAACAGTGCTCTTTGTACAAAAATTCTATACACAAAATACAGTTCAGGAATCATTCATTTTTCTTTGCCCATTGTGTTTTTTTAATGATTTTTGAGTTGGTTTTGTCTTCGAATGGATAGACATTTTATACCTTTGGATGTAGGTGATGAAACATTGGTCTCTTTGAATTTGAACAGATACTGAGGACTTGAAGAATCTTCACAAGCCTTTAATATTAACTTGCAGCTGAAGGTGCATATTTTAAGTTTCAAGAGCATAGTTCTGTCTACAAGTACATTATGGTATTTTTTCTCCCCTAACCTTTTATAGTGCAACTGTCATACATGTAGAGATAGTCCAGGAATTCATCCTATTCTAGCTATTTCCTCTCCAAGGCCAAATTTTCACAAAAGTTTCATCCAAAGCCTGATCTCAATGAGATAATGCCATCCCAAAAGAGGACTATTCCAGTGCTGTGTCTGCCAGGTCTGCCAGTACTGTCTCTTCCCCTGGGTCCTGCAGGGTCAGTTCATCATTCAGCTGCCACACACGAACATGTCCCAACTCATCACCTGTAGCCAGCAGCTGCCGACTGCAAACAGACAGGAAGAAACATTTCAATACAAGGTCGAAATGAAGCTAGTGATGAAACAATGGTCTCTTTGAATGGTAAAGTAATGAAAATGTAAACATGAACGAACATAGGCATACAAAATGTACACCATTATTACGTTAGGGAACATCAAACCTATGCTCAACTAATGTTACACATTATCATGACAAGATTAAAATATATCCTAGTTTCCCTACTTGTGCAGGTTGAACTCGAGAGTGTAGACAGGTTTCTTGTCAGAGCCAGCTTCCAGTGTACAGACAGGGTTGACCTTGTGAACCACAAGGTCATAGATGAGAAGTTGCCCCTCCCCTGTTACCACGGCGAACACGGATGGTCTGACCGGCGACCATCGTGCTGAGAAGATGTACCCTGCAGCAGGCTCCAGCTCCAGTACAGGCTTTGCCTGGCCAGGGAGAAATACATATTCAATATACAGCACACTCACTACAGACATTTTGGAAACAGTGTTTGATGTTCACGTACTAGGGGAATTCAGAAGTTTTTGAAGCACCCACAAAATCAGTCATGGCTATTATTGAACAAAAGCATAACCAAGATACCATTTTAGATAAAAGTATACAAACTTTGCAATGATATGTAATGCTATGTCACCTTATCTCCAATGGCATTCTACATTGTACTATCAGATTAACAGGTGTGTTACCTGCAGCATACTGTAGACCCTGGCAGTTTGGTCTATACCACATGTCAGGAACAGGTTCCTGTGATAGGGGGAACACTCCACTGCATACACCGGACCAACATGGGGGGTAAAGGCAAAGCTGACAGGGTTCTTCAATGGGACAGATGACTGGATATGAGCTGGAAATGTCAAAAAGATGTCAGAAAATTATAAAACAGTGATGTATCTGTTAATAACACAGCAGCTTTAACTCGTTAAAGGTTCTAACACACATGGGAGCAGGTATAAAAAATGTAAAAGGAACAAAAAACAGATTTATTTAATTGCCAATGACAACTGTACATAATTCTTATCAACTACCAGTTAGTAAGAATTTATCCTACTCCGAGAAGAACTAAAAAACATTTGGTCCTTATGACAATTCTCATGTCACAGACTGACCTGCAGCCAAGCGATCGGATGAGTTCATGGAACACTTAAAGACACCACCTCCTTCTGACCCAACAACAAACAGCGTCTTGTCTTCATGGGTGTAGGAAATAGCAGTCACTGAAAAAAACAGTTACATGTAAGTAAAACATTTTGATACTTAAAGAAGATCTCTGTCTGGACAATGCTAAAAAGACAAATTGATTACAGGTGTGAAAAGGCTAGTGTACCCCTGAACTGCATATACCCTGACATACATGTATTATGTCCATGGCAGGGGTACTGTCTGGCCTGGTTCACCTGTACTGAAGAAAATGAAACCAAAAGAAGGCATTATAGTAGACTATCACATATTGGCAATTATAGGACATGAAAAGTTTACCTCCCATCTCTGCATCTGGCCTCAGTCTTCCCTTCCTCATACTTCTGGGCATGCTTTCTGCCAGCAACAGGAACCTGAAAATACAAAGATTGTTGGAAAATTAACATAGAAGGATCATTGAAAGGCATACAACTGGTATCAACATTCAGATAGATATTTAAAAGGAAAATTCATATGAAACCAAGGTCTAAATAAATATACATGTATCTTGAAATGTAGTACTGTAACAGACTATCAATATGTGCATACATTGATGTAATCAATGATCAGGTTCACATTTCTTTTAGTAATAGGGGGGGAAAGGCGGTTTTGTGGCGTGTTAAGTTCCACTTCCTGCTATACGTCTCATCCCAGATGACTCAGTTTTGTGTTGGGTCAAACAAGGAATTGCTGTT